TCTCCCTCACCCCATTACCCCCCACCCTCTCACCCCATCATCTCCCTCTTATCATCTCCTCTCACCCCATCACACCCCTCCCCTCCTAATTCCGCTGTTCCAATTCCAATTTCTTCCTCCACCATTCCCATCAATTACCCCCCCCCTCTTCCCTCACCGATCTAACCTTTCACTTGTATAGAACCTCTTCAGTATTTTTATTTATTTATTTTCGTTTATTTCAATTACATCTTTCATTAGATTTATTCTTTTATTTTAATCCTTATTGTAATTTTTTTTTATCTTGGAAAAAAAATAAACCGATTTTTTTTTCGTCATTATCAAGGTTTTAGAAATTTTGTTGTTTGTTTTGGGATGAAAGTTGGATTGTGTGTTTTTTTTTCAACAAATATTAAGTTTTTTCCTACAATATTAAATTATTTCTGCGTTTATGTTTTTGTTTTTTCTCTTTTAACTGTCTAGAATTTTTTTTTCGGCAACCATGAATGAGTTTTTTTTTCTCCAGTCATAATTATTTTTTTCCATCTTTTCCTTCTTTCCTCTCTTCCCTCCCTCCCTCTCTCTTCCCCTCCTCTCAATCCTTCCCTTCGTACGCTCATACATCTACAATCTTTCCCTCCCATTCTTCCTTCTCTCTTTCCCTCCATCCATCCTTCCTTCCCGCTCCTTGACCCCCTCTCCTTCCCTTCCTCCCTCCATCCCCCCTCCTTAACCCCCTCTCCCTCTCCTTCCCTCCCCCTTCACCGGATTTGGCGGACCATCAACGCTGCCCTTCAACGACTGGAAGAGAAATGTGATGTCTTCAGTTCATCCATCTCTCTCTCTCTCTCTCTCTCTCTCTCTCTCTCTCAGACAATGGGGTCGCCCAGCCTCTGACAGCTTAGAAAGACGAACCCTCATTTCTCTGTTAGCTAAGACAAAATGAGCTGTTTGTTTTCTTGTAGTTGGGGCTATATGACCTCCGTTTTCTGTCAACATAAGAAATTTGACCGCCCCAATATTCTGTTAGCTGAGTTGTTAAGTCTTATTTAGCTGAGACACTTTTTTTTAGCTGAGACACTTTTTTAGCTGAGACACACTTTTTAAGCTGAGACACTTTAGCTGAGATTTTTTTTAGCTGAGATACACTTTAACTAAAACACTTTAACTGAGACACTTTTTTTTAGCTGAGCGACACTTTTTAAGCTGAGACACGGGTTGTAATGTTATCTTTGCATAGAAATATAATAGATCACGTGAAGATTAGGCACCCTAACTTATTTCACCTGATAATTAAACACCTTAACGCTACCTGAGTTGAGTAAGGTTAAGTTAATTTAGGTTAGGTAAGCTTAGGTTAGCTTGGTTTAGCATTAGGGTAGAGTAGGTCATATTACATTAGCTTAGATTACGTTTGCGTGAGTTAGGTTAAGTTAGCATTAGGGTAGAGTAGGTCATATTACATAAGCTTAGATTACGTTAGCGTGAGTTAGGTTAAGTTAGCATTAGGGTAGGTCATGTTAGATTAAGTTAACAAAGTATACGCCAAGGTGTTTCAATCATCAGGTAACTCAAACTCGGGGCCGCTAACGCACAATGGTCAGGGTGCTGTGTCAAGTGACGAAGGCAGTGGCTCCCCTCCCTGTGGTAAGTCTGTTTACATTCGTGCTTCTCTATTCTTATCATCGTCTCTTAGTTATTATTGGTATTGTCTCCTTTTACTTCATTCCTTCCTTTTATATTGTTTTTGTTGTTATTGTTATTATTATTGTTGTTGTTGTTGTTATTGTTGTTGTTCTCGTTAATCCTATCCCCACCACTACCATTACTCCTCCTACCTCCCCCTCTCCTCCTACCTCCCCCTCCTACCTCACCACCTTCACCGCCACCACAATTTCCTTCTCCTACTACACCTCTTAAGCCGCCACCGCCACCACTTCCTCCTCCTCCTCTTCCTCCTTCACCACCATCACCACTACTTCCACCGCCACCACTTCCTCCTCCTCCACCACCATCACCACTACTTCTTCTTCCTTTTCTTCCTTCTCCTCCTCTTCTTCTTCTTCCTTCTCTTCTTCTTCCTCCTCCTCCTCTTCTTCTTCCCCCTCCTCTTCTTCTTCCCCCTCCTCCTCTTCTTCTTCCTTCTCTTCTTCCTCCTCCTCCCTCCTCTTCTTCCCCCTCCTCCTCCTCTTCTTCTTCCTTCTCTTCTTCCTCCACCTCCTCTTCTTCCTCCTTCTCTTCTTCTTCCTCCTCTTCTTCTTCTTCTTCCTCCTCCTCCCCTCTTCTTCTTCCTTCTCTTCTTCCTCCTCCTCTCTTCTTCTTCCCCCTCCTCTTCTTCTTCCCCCTCCTCCTCCTCCTCTTCTTCTTCCTTCCTCTTCTTCCTCCTCCTCCTCTCCTCTTCTTCCTTCTCTTCTTCCTCCTCCTCCTCTTCTTCCTCCTTCTCCTCTTCTTCTTCCTCCACCTCCTCTTCTTCTTCCCCCTCCTCCTCCTCTTCTTCTTCCTTCTCGTCTTCCTCCTTCTCCTCTTCTTCTTCTTCCTCTTCTTCTTCCTCCTGCTCCTCCTCACATCAGCACTGAGACACCTAATGTTACTCACGCCTATAAAATTAACTTGGTTTTTCCCACGACTAATTTTACAAGAGAAGACAAACGTTCATCTGTCGTAGTTCCTATAAACTTGTCATTACGGGGCAGAAACCTAACCTAACCTAATGTAATCTTACTTAACTTAACCTAACCTAATAAAATCTTACCTAACTTAACCAGATCCAACCTAATCTAATCAAACCTAACCTAACCACCCTGATGCTAACCTAACCTAACCTAATGCTAACCTAACCAAACCTAACCTAAGCCTCCAAGTAGTGTTAGGGGTGTTGAATCATCAGGTGAAATGAGCTTAGGGGGGGGGCTAATTTTCAGGTGTTTTAAATTTATCACTATCACCATCAGACGAGTCAATATCATCACTGTCATCATCAGAAGAGTCATTATCATCATCACCACCATAAATTCTCACCATCCTCATCTCCATCATCAGCATCACACACACACACACACACACACACACACACACACACACACACACACACACACACACACACACACACACACACACACACACACAACCT